AGGTTTCGAACCCGCAGGCTCAGGCATTCCACTCACCTCAGCCTCCCAAAGCGTGGGATTACAGGCTGAGCCACCAAGCCTGGCTTACTTTTATTTTTAAACATTACTCTTTTGCATTTTTCCTTTTACCTATAGGTTGAAACAAGAGAGAGAGCTGATGTTAACTCAGCTGAGCCAGGGCCTGGCTGCAGAGCTGATGGAACTCATGGTGATGGAGTTCGTGAGGGAAACCTGTTCCCAGGAGTTGAAGTAAGTGGAACACTGGTATCCTGCTGTGCCATGAGACATAGGAGTTTAGCTCAGCCCCAGACTATGTCTGGCTTCACTGAGGATAGGCTATTGGAAATGTGTGTTACCTGTTTAAGCTACTTTGGCTTTGTGATTAAGTATATGTGATACAGTCCTCTGTGCTCCCTTGGTTGACAGAATTTTATTATAAGAATTTCTTTTTATAATCTGAGGACCAGCACTGCATGATCATAGTCAGCCATCTTTGATAGCCAGTGGCATTTGTCATGTAGTTGAGACGCTTCTTTCTTTTATTCATTTATTTTTGAGAATGGTCTCACTATGTTAACCAAACTTGCTTCAAACTCCTGGCCTCAAGACATCCTCCTCCTTGGCCTTCCAAAGCACTGAGATAACAGGCTTGAGCCACCACACCCAGCCATATTTGAGACACTTATGATTGCAAATGTCAGATATTGCTGATGAGAAGATTTTGTTTTGTAAATGATCCCTTAAAAAATGAAAAATTCTGGCTCAGTGGCTTAGCCTGTAATCCTAGCGCTTTGGGAGGCTGAGGCAAGTGAATTGCCTGAGCCCACGGGTTTGAGACCAGCCCGGGCAACTTGGCAAGACCTTGTTTCTACAATAAATAAATAAATAATTATCTGGGCATGGTAGCACACACCTGTAGTTCCAGCTACTTGGTAGGCTGAGGTGAAAGGATCTCCAGAGCCCAGCAGGTCGCCCTGGGTGACGGAGTGAGACTCCAACTAAAAAAATAAAATAAAATAAAATAAAATAAAATTATAAGTCAGGCACTGTGACATGTGCCTGTAGTCCCAGCTACTTGGGAAGCTAAGGCAGGAGGATCATGTGAGCCTAGGAATTCAAGGCTGTCATGTGCTATGATTGCTCTTGTGAATAACCACTGCATCCCAGCCTAAGCAACATGGCAAGACCTCATCTCTACAGTAAGTCAAAAATATTAGCTGGGTGTGGTGGCACACGCCAGTGGTTCCAGCTGCTTGGAAGGCTGAAGTGGAAGGATAGCCTGAGTCCAACAGGTCGAGACTGTGGTAGCCGTGAGCGTGCCAGTGCACTCCAGCCTGGGTGACAGAATGTGACTCCAACTCAAAAAAAAAAAAAAAATTAAAAATCAATGGGCTCAGGCAATCCTCTCACCTCCATCTCCCAAAATGCTGGGATTATAGATGTGAGCCACCATGCCTACCCAATGTTTGTTTCTTAATTGTTATAAGGGCCCCTATGGACCTATAATCTGGCACTCTGTACCACCTGGTTTTTTTTTACCCTGTCATTCTAGGTGTCTTACTTTAAATAAAAAGAAGTATCTTTAAAGTTTATCTTGCAATGATGATATAATTACCTTTTGTTAATAAAGACATAGACTCTTGCACTTTTAAAGCAAGCCCTCAGTGTCTGTAGACCCTGGATGCAGTTTGTCTCATGCTGTTTCCTAGGAATGCAGTCGAGACAGACCAGAGGGTCCGCGTGGCCCGTTGCTGTGAGGATGTCTGTGCCCAACTAGTGGACTTGTTCCTCATAGAGGAAATTTTCCAGACTGCAAAGGAGACACTCCAGGAACTTCAGTGCTTCTGCAAATATTTACAGCGGTGAGTCCTGTGGTGTTACAGATAAAATCCACACACATGGGGAAGAGACTTTTACCAAATTAAAAATGCATATGTCATCATTTCCTTTAGTCAGTAACCAAAGGATGAGAGAACATTTTATAACAATTAATACCTATAGACTCTAATTATAGTGGACTCTTAATTGGATTATACTTGTGGAACAATTGATTACATACACTTTTTTACACACATAACATGTTCCTAGATGGTGCAAACTAAGGGATAAGTCATGAATTAGATTGGGGCTGGTGGCTGTTCTGTATTTGAACAAGTATTTATAGGGTGCCTGCTGTTTGCCCACTGTGCTAGACACTGGGAGACCTGTGAACAAGCCACATTCTGGCTTCATGTACCAACAAAAATGACTGCCTAGATATACACAGTGAAAACAAAGCAATTAATAGGCAAATACATACAGCATTACAAATAGTGTATATTCATACTACATAGATTCTTTTGGACTTATATATAGTAGTATAGCCCAAAGAAAAGAAGGAAAATAATGATCAAAACGCAGCATAGTGCTTATCTTTTGGAATAGGAGGGGATGCTGCTCATGGCTACCACTTCTCAACTGGAAGGAAGTATGTGGGTAATTTATCATTAATAAGCTGGGTGGGGCACACCTCATCAATAAGGGTACATGCATAATGAACATTTGTATACCTAACCCTGAATTGTACCCCACATCTTTAAAATAAAAAAATTAAATTAAAAAATTAAACTGGGCATATATGTGATACATATATTCATTTCATAATAAAATTTAAAATAAGTAGGCTGGGCATGGTGACTCATACCTGTAATCTCAGCACTTTGGGAGACTGAGGCAGGAGGATTGCTTGAGCCCAGGAGTTTTAGACCTGCCTAGGCAACATAGCAAGACATCTTCTCTACAAAAAATCAAAGTTAGCTAGCTAACTTTGATAATGGTGCACACATGTAGTCCCAGCTACTTGGGAGACTGAGACAGAAGGATCACTTGAGCTGAGGAAATTGAGGTTGCAATGAGCTGTGGTTGTGCCAATGCACTACAGCCTGGGCAACAGATTGAGATCCCAACTCAAAAAAAATAAAATTTATTGTAATAGTGTGCTTGCTGATTACAATAGTATAAACAAGAAAACAGTGAGAAGTGAATCTCCCTTCCATGACAGATCCCTGTCCATTCTTCAAGCAGTAGATGCTTGTGTACCCATCCAGAAACTTTCTATTCTTACTTGTAGTTGTTAACACACAAATGGGAGTGTGTTCCCTATCTTGTTCTAAGTCTTTCAATACTCCATTTGATGAAAGAAGCCTGTCAGGCTCTCCCTGTTATTGTCAGTGGTGTTGAGGTGTCATTGTGAGAATGTATCCTAAATGACTTTTGCAGTCCTCTTCTGTTGTTGGTAGACTTTCATGTGGCTTTCTCTCTTTAGCTATTAGAAAGAGCGCTACATCTATCACAGATACAAAGAAAAGAGTACCACATGTTCTTACTCATAAACAGACCCTGAACATTTACCATAATACTATAAGAAAGGGATTGGCAGTAGCAGGATACTGCCAGGGCGAGGCTGGGGACACAACATCAATAAGGGTACCTGATTTCAAGCCAGGCAAAGTGGGGACCAAAGGGAGATCCAAACTACCTGTACAATGTCCACTTGTATACCTAATCCTGAATTCTATCCCACATCTTTAAAATAAAATATTTAGAAAAGAAAGAGTGCTGTAGTGACCATCCTTGCACAATATTTTATACATGTCTGTACATGTGCACATGTGTCTGAAGAGAAATTTCTGTAAGTGGTATATGTATATTAGATTTGTATTCATATTGCCAAACCAGACTCCAAAGATCATTCAGTATTAGCTCTTTTTTTTTTTTTTTTTTTTTTTGAGTTGGAGTCTCACTCTGTTGCCCAGGCTAGAGTGCAGTGGCATGCTCACAGCCACTGAGCCTCAACCTGCTGGGCTCAGGTGATCCTTCTGCCTCGGCCTTCCAAGTAGCTGTAACCACAGGCGTGCACCACCATGCCCAGCTAATTATTTGATTTATTGTAGAGAAGACGTCTCACCAAGTTGCCCAAGCTGATCTTGAACCCCTGAGCTCAGGCAGTCCTCTCTCCTCCACCTCCTAAAGTGCTGGGATTACAGGTGTGAGCTACCATGCCCAGCTTGTATTAGCTCTTAAATTCAGTAGATTCATTGCTCACCACAATGATATCCTTTGATATCATTCCTTCCAATGCCTGAGTTTTAATTTCATTCATTTCTCAGTTTGAAAACTTGCTGGAAAATACCTAATATACTGCCAAAAAACATGTTACCCCGTGTTATGTTGCTGGCATGTATTTTTGTGTTTTTCTCCTAGCATGTTTTTGGTTTTTTCTCCTGGGACACACTTTGAAAAACTCGTAGTGATAACATATTGGTGTATCCCCTAGGTGGAGGGAAGCTGTTGCAGCCCGGAAGAAACTGAGGCGCCAGATGCGGGCTTTCCCTGCAGCACCCTGCTGTGTGGACGTGAATGACCGGCTGAGGGCTCTGGCACCCAGTGCAGAATGCCCCATTGCTGAGGAAAACCTGGCCAAGGGCCTTCTGGACTTGGGCCACGCAGGGAAAGTAGGCATTTCCTGTACCAGGTCAGCACTCAGCTGCTGCTTGTCTTCTCAGGCCTTTTCTGCCCCCAAGTTGCCCTGCTAGGAGCTGAATTAATGTGTGTATTTGGAGTGCGAAGATAGGCAAAGTTAGGAAATGAGGACAGGTGCAGGATTGCATTTTGAAGGTTGTTCCCTGCAGTTGTGTGACTTGCTCTGCCAGGGAAACAGCTCTGATTTTACAGGGCTCTCACCTTGAAAGACTCAGTGTCCTTGTAAAAGAATCTGACTTGGAATCATCTGTTCTTCTTCTGGTCTTCCTTTTCAAGTACTGGATTGATGCATAAGTTTGTAGCATTTTTGCTTGCCCATGGAATGTAAATGTCACACGATGGTTGACTGATCACAGTTCATCACATTTGCCAGTTCTTGCGTTGACTGACGTGGGTCATGGATTAAAGTGTTTGAATGGTCCTCATCAAAGCCTGATAGTCTTCCTGAACATGGAGAATCACTTAGGTCAAAGTGACCCTCTTTGAAATGTTAAAACCATTTTCATGCCATGCTTTCTCCAATGGTATTCTTCCTGTACATGGCACAAATGTTTTGAGCCACCTTTGCTGCCTTTAACTCCTCTGTTAAACTCAATATGTTGGAGGTGTTTATTTTTTTCTACTTGGTGCTCCATCTTCTTTAGCCCACACATGACACTAGCTTTCTTCAAAACTGCAAAATATAAGGTGTATTCACAAGCACAACATTGTCACTCCAAATGATAAATAACAAATGATAAACTCCCAATATCAGTGTTGTCATTCTAAAAACAAATGCTATGAACTTATGCATCAACTGAATACATAAACACTACGAACTTTTGTATCAACCTAATACATACCACTTCTGTCCTCACTGATGGAGCCAGAGGTCCACGTTTCCCTCATTCCTCACCCTGCTTCCTCTGCTCTTCCTGCCACCTTCTTCACACATTACCCCCTTTCCTGTGGCAGCATATTAGTGACTCCACCTCTACCCTCCAACCTCTGCCTCTTTGAGGTCCTTTGGTGTTGCTTTCCCTGCCATCGCCCTGAGCACGACTGGTTCTTCAGGGCTCTGCCTGAGGCTTCACTCTTTCATTCCTGGCCATGCTGGGCTTGGCCTTTCTTTAGGCCCAGTGTCAGTGTCACCTCTTGGGAGTGGCCTTTAGGGCTATTCTGCCTCTTAGTGGGCAGGGTCTGGGGGAGGGCAATCTGGAGGACCCAGCTGGTGCACTGTGCTAGGGTCTTAGGTCACATCATTCTCCTGGTCATCACAGGATGCTCTCTCTGAAAACCATCTCTACGTGTTTCATTTGGCCCCAGGAGATTCCATGTAAACAAGCATCTCCAGCATGGTCCTCTTCTCTGTGTTCCAGACTCGATAGCCAGTTCCCAGCTCAACCTCTGACCCTAATCTTCCCCCATCCCACTCCTTCCCTGCTCACGGGATGCCATCCTGTCCTCCTTGCTTCAGTCACAAACCTGGGCTTGCATCTTTCTGGCAGACCTACCATCTTATAGCTCTGCCCTCAGAACATAGGGCCTGACCGGTCTCTCCGCCCTACTGCCAACACTTCTCAAGGATTGTTGCTGTCTGCCAGTTTCCACCTGTCCACAACACCACAGCAGACAGATCCTCTGCCACCTCAGTCAGTCTGTTGACATCCCTACACTATTCCTGAGTCTTCACCCTGTGGACTGAACCCCTCCCCCAGCTGTCCCCACTGCTCTTCCAAATTATGCCAGGTCTGGCATCCCCACTGCTGCTTCCCAGAAATTGGAACACTGGCTCCCCCTATTTCCTTCAGCTTTTTGCTCATGTCACCTTCTGTGACCACCTTGGGTGAGACTACAACACTCACCATGGCTCCTGCCCCACCTGACAGCATTTATCCACAGCACTGACACTTCCATATGCCATGCCAGCCACTTACAGATGCTATTCTCTCTCCCCCATGAGAGTGTATGTACTAAAAGAGCAGGATTTTTGTCTGTTTATTGCTGAATCTCCCATAGCCAGCACACAGCAGATACTTAATATTTGTGGAATGAAGATGTCCTGACTAACCCATTTCATCAGCAGAAAAAATTTTTCTCAGTTTTCTAAGTATTTCCCGCAAGGAGACACTCACTAACCAATTACTTTTCACTCCCAAACATCAGTGAATACTTACTAGCCCTTTTGTGGGCATGGGCTAGTGGTCTGTCTTAGGTGTAGTATCATTCTGCCTTTCTTTATAGGTTAAGACGGCTCAGAAACAAGACGGCTAACCAGATGAAGGTCCAGTACTTCTACCAGCAGCTACTAAGGTCTATCACATTCTGCCATGCATGCTGTTCCTGCTTGGGGTCCACCTACTAGCTAACCCATGGAGATCTGTCTCTTCCAGTGATGTGGTGTGGGCGCCTCTGGACCTGCCATCCCTCCTGGCTGAGCACCTCCCTGGGAGAAAAGAGCACGTGTTTTGGAAGCTGGTACTGGTGTTCCCTGATGGAGAAAAGCAGGCCCCAGGGAGTCCTGGCAGGTCAGAGAGGTTTCTCTGGGGGTGGGGTGGGGGTGTTGAATGCTAAGGCGTAGGGTGACTGAGAGTATTGGGCAGGGCAGAGCTGTGAGCCTGGATCGGTGTTTCTGTCATGTGGATGGGAACCCTGAAGCATAGGTTTATTTATTTATTGTTTTGTAATTTTAAAGATGTGTACAATTCCAGGTTAGGTATACGAATGTTCATTATGGACCCTTGTTGATGAGGTGTGTAGTTTACATTTTAATGCTTGGATTTGCAGTCTGTTATCTTCTTGATTTTGAAGTTGACATTTAGATTTAATTATCTCAGTTTTTATTTTGGAAACTTGTCCATAGTCTTAGTTCAAAGCATTTAAAAGTTGATTGTTATTTAAAGTTATGTTAAGGTATAACATACTTTTGGGGAAGATAGTTTAGTTTGTTTGCTATAGGTCTACCTTAGAAAAAAAACTTTTGGTGTTTTAAAAAAGAAATCCCGGGCAGCCCCTTCAGGTCCCCTTCCACTCTGGGAGCTTTTCTGTCCTCTCAATAAATTCTGCTTTCTCAAAAAACAAAAAGAAAGAAAGAAATCCTCCAAATTGACATGGCATTATTTCCTGTAACCAAATAGCATAAAGAAAAGTTATACTTTTAAAGCAACTAGTTTCTTTTTTAAATAGTTTTATTGAGATACTTCACTTATTTAAAGTGTACATTTCAGTGATTTTTAGTTATAGTCACAGGGTTTTACAACCATCACCATTATCTAATTTCAGAACACTTTTTCACATAAAATGAAACCCCATGTTCATTTGCAGCCTCTATTTCACTCTACCCCCAGCTCCTAGCAACCACTGATCTGCTTTCCGTTTCTATGGATTTGCCTATTCTGAACATTTTATTTATTTATTTATTTGAGTAAGAGTCACCCAGGCTGGAGTGCAGTGACACACTCATGGCCACCACAGCTTCGACCTGCTAGGTTTAGGCAATCCTTCCAACTCAGCCTTCCAAGTAGCTGGAATTACACGTGTGCATCACCATGTCAGCTAATTTTTTGATTTATTATAGAGATGATATCTCGCCAAGTTGCCCATGCTGGACTTGAATCCCTGACTCAGGCAATCCTCTTGCCTCCACCTCCCAAAGTGCTGGGATTGCAGGCATGAGCCACCACACCTGGCAGGACATTTTATGTGAATGGAATCATGTAATATATAGTCTTTTGTGATTGGCATTTTTCCCTTAGCATCAAGTCTTCTAGGCTTATCCAAGTCAACGCATGTATTAGTGCTCATTTTTTTGTGTGTGGGTCCATTGTTTGAATATACCATATGTATTCGTTTACTAGTTGATGGGCATTTGGGTTGCTTCCTCTTTTCAGCTACTATGTTTAAGGCTGCTGTGAACACTCATGTATAGGTATTTGTGTGGACATGTGTTTATAGTATTTTTGGTTATACTTAGGAATGGAATTGCTGAACTCTTTTCCATAGTGGCTGCACCATTTTACATCCCCATCAACAATGTCTGTTGAATGCATTCTTTGAATGCATTCAAGTTCTTTGAATGCATTACTTTTAAGCAGTTATTATTGGAACACATGCAGGCTAAGGAAAAAGAAAGTCATAAAGTTTATTTCATAGGACTGCTGAGCAAGGTATTTAAATAATTATTCATGTTTTAAATAAACAGCTGTCTTCTGATTTGCCAAGTTAATGTGTCACTCAGGAACTCTTAAGACATGAGAAATTAGATTCTTTAAAACATATATTTCAAACTTTAGGAATTTTTTTGTTTTTTTTGAGTTGGAGTCTCACTCTGTCACCCAGGTTGGAGTGCAGTGGCATCTCACAGCCACCGCAGATTTGACCTGCTGGGCTCAAGGAGGTGATCCTTCCACCTTAGCCTTCCAAGTAGCTGGAACCACAGACATGTGCCATCACACTCAGCTAATTTTTTTGTGTGTGTGGAGATGAGTTCTCACCATATTGCTCAGACTGGTCTTGAACCCCCGAGCTCAGGCAGTTCTCTCATCTCTGCCTTTCAAAGTGCTGCGATTACAGACATGAGCCACAGCACCTGGCTTCTAGGGGTGTTTTCTATTGCTCAGAATCTTTTCTTAGTACTTCAGAATCTTAAGTCACATTTGAACGAGCTAGTTCCATGAGTATCCTTTTCTCCCATCCAAATAAATAACCCAGTAGAGATTTTTGCTTCATTTAAAAATGATAGCCTGTTTTTTCCAGGCCAATTTAATAGTTGGTGTCTAGTTGGTGTCTGTGGACCTAGATCTGTATGATATTTCCCTTTCTTTTCTTGAAAATATTTATAATTCAAATTTAGAATTAGATTATTCTTAAAGTGTTATTTTCCCTTATCTACAGAATTCTAGCTAATTGGTTAAAAGTCAAGTTCATGGGAGATGATGGCTTGATGGATGACATGTGCAGCGATGCAGGTGGGATTCAGACACTTGCACTTTTCAACACACTCAGTGGAAAAGGGGATCAGACAATTTCTGTCAACGTGTGTATAAAGGTAATTTACAATCACTTTGTGTATTTACTTTTGTGATTTAATTATTTTCATTCACTCTTAAATATTATTTGAATCATATAAATATGATTTATTATCTAAAGTGGTTTTGAAAGACTGTGGGAGGCTCAGAAGCAAGTGTCATGTCTGTCCCTCCTTGATCTTAATGGCATCCCATGGACACCTCTTGGTGTGAGTTGCCAGGCTGGATGTAATAGAGCAGAGAGGCTGTCAAGATCTCTCTGAGCACTTGGTAAAAACTTAGAACCATCCTGAAAAATGCACAGGAGAACCAACAATGTTTTGCATATTATAATTTAGAAGCCCTGAAGTCCTCCATGGACCTCTGCTAATTAACTTGAGAGGGATGAGAGAGTGGGTTCCACAAAAATGCCTGACTTGTTTGTTAAAACAGTCTCCTGACACATCAGGTTTTGCCAGAAGACTAATGGTTTTTATTTTTTATTTATTTTTTATTTTTTTAGAGACAGTGTCTTACTCTTGTTGCAGTCTTAAGCTCCTGAGCTCAAGCTATCCTCCCATCTCAGCCCACCAGTAGCTGGGACTAGAGGCATGTGCCAACATCCTCAACTAATTTTTTTTGTTTTTTTTATTTTTTGTAGAGATGGGCCTCACTGTGTTGTCCAGGCTGGTCTCAAACTCCTGGCCTCAAGCAGTCCTTCCACTCAGCCTCCCAAAGCAGTGGGAGTACAGGCATGAACCACCACACCTGGCCTAAAAGAGTAATAGTTTTTATTTTTTCTTTTCTTTGTGTTTCATTAAAGTCTCTTACTTCATCTGCTTTTTTAAAAATCAACTAATGTTTTTTTTCTTATAAATCTCTGTCTCCAATATTCAAAGAAACATATTCTAATTTTTCTTTTTTACTAGAAGCTCACAAACTCATTGCTATTTGTTTTTTTTTTTTCATTGCTGTTTTACACTCTTAAAATTGTATACAGAGCCAGGTGTAGTGACTCACGCCTATAATCCCAGCACTTTGGGAGGCCAAGGTGAGAGGACTGCATGAGTCCACGGGTTCAAGACTAGCCTGGGCAACTTGGTGAGACCTCATCTCTACAATAAGTAAAAAAAATTAGCCAGGTATGGTGGCATACGCCTGTAGTTCCAGCTACTTGGAAGGCTGAGGCAGAAGGATCGCCTGAGCCCAGCAGGTCGAGGCTGTGGTGGCTGGGAACATGTCACTGCACTCCAACCTGGATGACAGAGTGAGACTCCAACTCAAAAAGAAAAAATGTGTATAGAAAACAGTTGAGGATGAATGAACTAAAGCAAGTTTATATTTATTTTGGCAATGACTGAATAGATGTCACTACAGATGTCTGAGAGCACTATGAGAAAAAAAGACATGTTTTTCAAAACAATAAGAACCTTTTATGTAGTAGAAAAACCTCTGTAGTGTCAAAATCTTCCATTCACTGAAAGAAAATAGTTCATTATGAATCCTTAACAAAGCAGTCTTAAATGTACTTTAAGGCATGGATATTTTTGAGCTTTAGGGCCCTCTTTAGTGAAAGAAACATGTTTTGTTTTGTTTTTTTTAATTATTTCAGTAGCTTTAGGAAGTACAGATTTTGGTTACATGGACATTGTATACTAGCTAAGAAGTCTGGACTTTAAGTGTAACTACCACTCCCACCTGTACACATTGTACCTGATAGGTGATATTTCATCTCTCTACCCCTTCCCACTCTCTCCCTTCTGAGTCTCTAGTGTCCTTTATACCATTCTATATGCCTGTGCAGATCCTTAATTTAGCTTCCAGTTATAAGTGAGAACATGTGGTCTTTGGTTTTCTGTTCCTATGTTAGTTCACTTAGATGATGTTTTCCAGTCCCATCCAAATTGCTGCAAAAGACATTATTTTATTCTTTTTTATTGCTGAATAATATTCCATAGTATATATATATATATATACACACCACATTTTCATTATTCACTGATCAGTTGATGGGCATTTAGATTGATCCCACATCTTTGCAGTTGTGAATTGTACTCAATAAACATCCGAGTGTAGGTATCTTTTTGTATAACGACCTCTATTCCTTTGGGTAGATACCTAGTAGTGACATTGCTGGATCAAATGATAAAACTACTTTTAGTTTTTTGAGAAATCTCCACACTGATTTCCATAGAGACTGTACTAATTTGCAATCTCACCAACAGTATATAAGCGTTCCCTTTTCACTGATCCTCACCAACCTCTGTTGATTTTTTTTAAATGGCCATTCTGATTGGTATAAGGTGGATCTCATTGTGGTTTTAATCAGTATTTCCCTGATGATTAGCGATATTAAGCATTTTTCAATGTTTGTTAGCCATATGTATATCTCTTTTGAGAGATATCTGCTCAGGTTGTTTGCCCACTTTTTAATGGGATTATTTGCTTTTTTCTTGCTGATTTGTTTGAGTTCTTTGTAAATTCTGGATATTAGTCCTTTGTCAGATGTATAGTTTGCAAATACCTTCTCCTATTCTGTAGGTTGCCTATTTACTCTGTTGATTACTTCTTTTGCTGTGCAGAAGCTTTTTAGTTTAATTAAGTCCCACTTATTTATCTTTGTTTTTGTTGCATTTGCTTTTGGGGTCTTAACAATAAATTCTTTGCCTAGGGCAATGTCCAGAATGTCCTAGGCTTTCTTCTAGGATTTTTATGGCTTAAGGTCTGACATTTAAGTCTTTAATCCATCTTGAGTTAATTTTTGTATATGGGGAGAGATAAGAATCAAGTTTCATTTTTCTGCATGTAGCTATCCAATTTTTCCAGCACTATTTGTTGGATAGGGTGACCTTTTCTCAGTGTGTATTTCTGTTTGCTTTGTCAAAAACCCGTTGGTTGTAGATACTTGGGTTTATTTCTGGATTCTCTATTCTGGTCCATTGGTCCATGTGACTGCTCTTGTACTAGTACCATGCTTTTTTGGTTACTATAGCCTTGTAATATAATTTGAAGTCAGATAATGTGATGCCTACAGCTTTGTTCTTTTTGCTTAGAATCATTTTGGCTATTCTGGCTCTTTTTGGTTCCATATGAATTTTAGGTTTTGGTTTTTTTTTCTAATTCCGTTAAAAATTATGTTGGTAGTCTCTTCATACTGTGTTCTGGAAGATTTCCTTGACTTTATTTTCCAAATGCCCCACTGCATTTTTTTATTCCATATATATTATTCATTTCTTCTTTATTGCCCTTATTTTGACTTTTTCATAGCATCTTATTACTATTTTTGGATGCATCATCTTATCTTTCTGAAGAAATTAGGATTTTGGGAGGTTTACATTTTCTGCCTTTTTTTTTTTTTTTGAGTTGGAGTCTCACTCCTTCACCCAGGTTGGAGTGCAGTGGGATGTACACTCACGGCCACCCCAGTGTTGACCAGGCTGGAGTGCAGTGGCATGCACGCTCACAGCCACCCCAGTGTCGACCTTCTGGGCTCCAGCGATCCTTCTGCCTCAGCCTTCCCAGTAGCCGGAACTACAGACATGTGCTACCATGCCCGGCTATTTTATTTTATTTTATTTTATTTTGTGTTGTGTTATGGTGAGGTGAGGTGAGAGGTGAGGTGAGGTGGGAGGAGGTGAGGTGAGGTAAGGTGAGAGGTGAGGTGAGGTGAGAGGTGAGGTGAGGTGATGTTAGACAAGAGGTGAGGTGAGGTGATGTTAGACAAGGTCTCGACAAGTTGCCCCAGCTGGTCTCAAACTCTCGGGCTCAGGCAATCCACTTGCCTCGACCTCCCACATCACTGGGATTACAGCTGAACCACTGAGTTTGGCCTACATTTTCTTATATTTTTGCGTTATCTGTTTCCTCTGGGTTTCTTTTGCTCTGTTAGTCTAGTTTGTCTCTTTTATGTTGGAGGCTCTCCTCAGACACCTTAGCAGAGGCTATTTGTTCATAACTGAGTGAGGCCCTAATAGGCTGAGGCCCTAACAGGCTGGCCAAGAAGCTCTATGTTTGGGGTTGGATGAAAGGGATTCAGCCTTTTTTGGAGGGACTCCCAAATGTCTGGATCTGGATGTCTGTTTTCTGGACTGTTTAGTTTTTCTGGAAAGAACTTGTCCCTTCTCCCCTGGGTAGCTGCTGGTGTTCTCAGGGTAGAGTTGGGAATGACTAGCACTGAGTTCCCCTCCACTGTGCCTGATGATGCTCCTGCATCTGGATCCTCTCAGGACTGTTGCTCAGGAGTCCAGGGGGTCAGGTTGTTCTTAGGGACTGCCTGTAGGGAAGGGGGATGACCTGTAGCACCTTTGATGTCTGCTGCCTGCAGAGACTGGGTGCTCAGGGCTTTTGCAGGCTCAGTCAGCCTGGCTCTTTCTACACCCATACCTGCAGGCTTTAGGCATGGGTTCCTCTGCTTCCCTAGTCCTAACTACTCTCTGCTTTCTAGAAAATGTATTGAAATCCCTTGTCTGCTGCTGGGTTGTCTTCTCCCTTTCTGTCATTATAGGCTTAACTGTTTTCATACCTGTTTAAGCTTAACTAAGATTTTGGTAACATGGTCAAACACAATTACAGTTGGAGACTAAATTATCTGTTGGCCTGCTGTTTCTTGTATTAATTCATGGTCTCATGGAAGACTGTCTGGAGTATAGTGAATGTTTTGTGCCTAGAGAGCTTTGGCTGCACTTACTCTGGATAGATCATTTAATGTTGATATGTCTCGTGGTACATTCATCCTGACTGTCTGGATGCTGTTGCAGGTAGCCCATGGCACGCTCAGTGACAGTGCCCTTGATGCTGTGAAGACACAGAAGCACCTCCTGGGAGCTAGTGGGCTCATACTGCTGCTTCCCCCTAAAGTGAAGAGCGAAGATGTGGCAGAAGAGGACATATACTGGCTGTCTGCCTTGCTGCAGCTCAAGCAGCTCTTGCAGGCCAAGCCCTTCTACCCTGCACTTCCGCTGGTGGTTCTTGTGCCCAGCCCAGGAGAGGATGCTGTTGAGAAGGAAGTAGAGGATGGTCTGTGAAGGAAATCTCATTTATGAACTAGCATGGTTTAAGCAATGGGTGGAGGGCAACCCTTTAGGACCCCTCCCACTGCCAGGAGCTTTCCTGTCCTCTTAATAAAACTCCTGCTTTTTCAAAAAGAAAAAAGACAAGAAATGGGTGGACCCTTGGGTCTAAGGATGAGCCAGCAGTGCAGAGTTGGAAATCACTGGACAGCAACCTCCCAGTGACCACTACAGAGTCAGGCAGGGTCAGCACAGTGAGACAAACTGAGAGCAGGACACCTGTGACTTTTGTCTGTTTCTCTTAAAGGTCTGATGCTACAGGATTTGGTTTCAGCTAAGCTAATTTCAGATTACGCCGTTACTGAGATCTCAGGTTCTATTAATGATCTACAAGGTACAACTAAGGTAATGTGTCATCATTTTTAGAGGTCCTTCAAGATATTTTGGTTTTACTCCTTTTGCTCTATCTTGAATTTAGTGTATATTAGTGTTTGCCCTTTTTTTCTTTTTCTTTTTCTTTTTTATAGCCCATCACCAAGGCTATAGTGTAGGGCACAATCATAATTCACTGCAGCCTTGAACTCCTAGTTTCAAGCGATCCTTCCACCTTGGCCTCCTGGGTAGCTTGGGACTACAGAGGTATGCCACTGCACCTGATAGAAATTTTGTGTTATACAGATAACTTTTTAAAGTTATACAGATAACTATCTAAGAATATGAGCAGAAATCATAATAAAAGGTAAAATTTGCCCATAGTCCTGCTATCTGCAAATTAAATTATTTATATACATTTTTTAGTGCTTTCATTTTTATGAATTTCAAATATGACCATTCACATCTCATATTGGAAGGTCAGATATATAAATTATTTTACTAGGGTAATTGTCCTCTGAGTATATGAAGAAATTACATTATCTCAGATTTTCTTAAAAAAATAAGTGTCAAGCTGGGCATGGTGGCTTGTGCCTTAATCTCAGCTACTTGGGATGTTGAGGACTTCTTGAGTCCAGGAGTGTGAGACTAGCCTGGGCAATATAGTGAGACCCTTTACAAAATTTTTTTTTTTTTTTTAAAAGGAAGTCTATGCTGACAAATAAATTTAGGGAAAGAGGTGCCAGGAATTAAAATAAAAGTAATCACAGGAAGAAAGATAACTATAGTATGTGGAGGCATCCTAGCATGTAGTGAAGCTGTTAGTCCTTCCAAAAACCAGAAGACATGGCTTCCCTTTCAGTGCGTGGTGAAGGGGATGTGGGGCTGGTTACCTGAGAGAGCCTGGGCCCTTCTACAGGGCGAGCCTGCAGGCCACACTCCTCAGGGCCTGATGGCACTTGGGAGCCCCTCTCTGACTTCCTTGCTGGATATGTCTCCAGGGCCTTAGAAGGCCAAACCACCACAGAGGATGCTTCTGCTCCCTCTCCTACTGTGGTTGTGAGCCTGGTGCTCTGGTGGTGCCTGCTGTAGGCAACCATTGGGGGGGGGTCTTCCTGGCCCTGGGAAGTGTATCAATCCTCTTCAAAAAGCTGCATTTGAACAGTAGTATGATTGTTCAACAGTGATATGATTGTTCAACAGTGACTCTTCTGACTGTCTTTCCTCTCAGGTTTCACAGGCAGTGCAGTGGCTGGTCTCCCACTGCCCCCGTGCCCTTGACCTTTGCTGCCAGACCCTGATTCAGTACATCGAAGATGGGGTTGGCCGTGAGTTTAGCAGCCGTTTTTTCCATGACAGAAGAGAGAGGCATCTGGGCGGCCTGGCCTCACAGGAGCCCAGTGCTATCATTGAGCTATTCAATAGTGTGCTGCAGTTCCTGGCCTCCGTGGTATCCTCGGAGCAGCTATGTGACCTGTCCTGGCCTGTCACTGAGTTTGCTGAGGCAGGGGGCAGCCGACTGCTTCCTCATCTACACTGGAATGCCCCAGAGCATCTGGCCTGGCTAAACCAGGCCGTGCTCAGGTTCCAACTTCCACAGATGGACCTTCCACCCCCAGAGGGTATGTGTCTGAGCTTGGGAGGAGTGGCAGAGTGGCTGTCACTTACTTTCTGATTTCTTTCTTACTGTAGTAACAATCTGGCAGGTTTCAGGCACTAGTGTGAAGATTGCATGACCACTTCCACTGGGCACTTGCCTGTCCCTATGCTTGTGCTTGCCTGTACCTGCCTTTGGGTTCATGGATCAGAACCAGTGGGGTTTTTTTGTACAATGGAAGCTGTTGGCTTTTCCCCACCAACAGTGCAGCCTGTGGATTTCTGCTTAGCCCCAGGGGCAAGGTGGTGAGTAGTACTGGGAGGAACACCAATCCTGGGTCTGTCCTGCCTGTCCTATAGGTTCCCAGCTTTCAGAACAGACGAGCCAGGGGTACAGACATAGGGCCCACATGTTTCTGAGCTGTTGACTCTGCTGGGGCCATGGTACTCAGTGCTAATTCAGTGTTAATTTTTTGTCAAAGAAGCCTCTGTTCTGTGGCTCTGGCTGTGCTCCTGTGCCTGGCTGAGGCCTTTGGGCTGTTCTGACCAGACTGTATAGATCACGTGGGCTGGCTTGAGCCCTGGGTGGCATGGGGCTGCTCTGTCCTATGCAAATGATGTCAGGAAAGAACTGGCCTTTTTGCTGCTTACCTGACAGCTCATAATCTTGGCATGGACCATCCTCTTTGGGCCTCAAGTGCCCTTCTAAATTATGGGGTGTGGTCTAGCTAGCGCTCATTATTGAAGGAAACCAAAGGGAAGCAAACTACTGAGCATAAGCCCTCTGTGCTCTTTGCTAGGTTGGAGTTCCCCAAGAGAAGCTAAGACCACTTATTCCATACTCATCTGGGTGCTTGTTAAAATACAGATTCCGGCCGGGTGTGGTGGCTCAAGCCTGTAATCCCAGCACTTTGGGAGGCCAAGGTGAGGGGAGTACCTGAGCCCACAGGTTCAAGAACAGCCTGGGCAACTTGGTGAGACCTCATCTCCACAAAATCAAAATATTAGTCGGGTGTGGTAGCGTGAACCTGTAGTTCCAGCTACTTGGAAGACAGGCAGAAGGAGTGCCTGAGCCTAGCAGGTTGACGCTGGGGAGGCTGCACTCCAGCCTGGACAACAGAGTGAGACTCCAACTCAAAAAAAATAAATAAATATAGATTCCTAGGCACAACCACAGGCCTGTATAGTCAGAACTTCTGGGTGGACCTTTACTGTGAATACTGTCCAGGGTGACTGTCTGCATTCTTCACCTGGACCCTGGGAGCGAGCTGTTCCTTCAACAGCTATGGTTCTGTTGTGTTTGTATTTGAAAGCAGATTTCTCACCTACATAGTTGCCTTCTCCTAAGAAAATATAAAAGTTAAGAACACTTTCATGTAGGTTTTCTCCTATACTTTGGCCAAACTGTACCTAATGAAGCACTTTCTCTCTAGCCCCTTGGCTTCCCGTGTGCTCCATGGTTGTCCAGTATGCCTCCCAGATCTCCAGCTCACGCCAGACGCAGCCCGTCCTCCAGTCCCAGGTGGAAAACCTGCTCCATAGAACATACTGTAGGTGGAAGAGCAAGAGCCCCTCCCCAGGCCAAGGGGCAGGGCCGTCCGTCAGTGAGATCCCATGGGATGATGTGATCGCCCTGTGTATCAACCACAAGCTGAGAGACTGGGCACCCCCTCGACTTCCTGTCACATCAGGTAGTTAGAGCTCAGTGCTGTGGGAATAGCTTCTCACAAGGTTTCCCTGCTCCAGTTTCCACAAAGAAAGATGTTTATTTGGTGTGGCTTCTTTTCTCTTGAGTCATCACTCTTCTTTTCCTTAGACCTCTCTCTTCACGCCAGTGACTTTCAGGTGACTTAAAAACATTGGAATAAGCTAAGAAGATTCCTGAAACAGGCCCCCTAGGCTGTTTCCAAGTTAGAGAAGATTCTGTGACTCTGAGTAGTCATTACTGGCCCTTCCCTTTGAGTGACACTCAAATCTCAAATCTACCTTTTAAAACTTTTTTTTAAATTTCAGTAGCTTTAGGGGGTAGTTTTTGTTACATAGATACATCATATAGTGGCAAAGAAGTCTGGGCTTTAAGTGTACCCACCACCCCCACCTGTGCACAGTAAACCTGGTAGGTGATATTTCATTCCTCTGCTCCTTCCCATCCTCCCTACTTCTGAGTCTCCAGTGTCCATTATAGCGTTCCATATTGCAGAGCCTTAGCTCCCAGTTACAAGTGAGAACATAAAGTGTTTGGTTTTTTGTTCCTGTATTCACTTAGGATGATGTGAACCATGGAGCATATTTTATTCAACCATTGAAGTCACAATTGTGTGACACTAATTAATTGAAGGGATTTAAGCACATGTCAAATGGTTACCTGTTGCTCTTTGGATATTCCCTTGTAATCTGTTTTTTTATTGTTTTCTCAGAGGCACTGAGTGAAGATGGTCAGATATGTGTATATTTTTTTAAAAACTATTTGAAGAAATACGATGTTCCTTTGTCATGGGAACAAGCCAGATTGCAGACGCAGAAGGAGCTACAGCTGAGTCAGGGACGGTGAGATCCATGTTCATGTGTGTTTCTGTTACTGTCCTAAGCTGTATCTTCTATTTCAAAGTATATAGAGGGAAATAAACTTTTTTTTGCGTTGGAGTTTCACTGTCGCCCAGGCTGGAGTGCAGTGGCATGCTCACGGCCAACGCAGCCTCAACCTGCTGGGTTCAAGCAATACTTCCGCTTCAGCGTTCCAAATAGCTGGAAATATAGGCATGTGCCACTAATTTTTTGATTTATTATAGAGATGAGTGCTTGCCGAGTTGCCTAGGCTGGTCTCAAACCTCTGGGCTCGGGCAGTCCTCTCACCTCTGCTTCCCAAAGTGCTGGGATTACAGGTATGAGCCACCGTGCCTGGCTGAAAATTAGCATCTTATATACTAAATCCAGTCCTTTGTGGGCAGATTGTGACAAATTCTCAAAGAACACATCCTTCCTTATAGTATAAACTATTCTAGAGCAAAGAAAAGTTACAAGTGTCTGACTTCATATATCAGATGAACCTGACCCTGAAGTCATACCTAATCAGGAGGGTGCAGACTGCAAAGCTGGTACAGACTGCAAACCTGGTTCCAAAATACCAAGTAAAATGTTAGCACATGCAGTCTTGCAGTATCCACAAAAAAATCACAAGGCCGGGTGCAGTGGCTTATGCCTATAATCCCAGTATTTTGGGAGGCTGAGGTGAGAGGATTGCCTGAGCCCACAGGTTTGAGAGCCTGGGCAACTTGGCAAGACCTCATCTCTACAGTAAATCAAAAAATTAGCTAGGCATGGTGGCACGTGCCTATAGTTCTAGCTACTTGGAAGGCTGAGGCGGAAGGATTGCCTGAACCCAGCAGGTCAAGGCTGCAGTGGCCATGAGTGTGCCACTGCACTCTAGCCTGGGTGACAGAGTGAGACTCCAACTCAAAAAAAAAAAAAATCACAAATAGGCTTTTCCCAGGATAAACAATATCAACAGTGAAAATCTACTCATATAATTTGCTGCTCTAATAGAAAAATAAGTGGTATTGAAATACATTTCTTAAAATGTATACCTATTCCTGATAAAATTTGTTATTAAGCTTGGTTAAAAAAAAAATTCCTTAACTTGATGAGGTTACCTACCATGAAACTACCAAAAAAGAAAAAAAAAGTCATGCTTCTTGTTAGAATATTAGAAACACTGAAGGCAGAACTAGCCTGTTGTCCCTGCTGTTCACTGTTGCCCTGGAAATTCTGACCATTGCAGGGATGTGGGATAGACAGTCACAGATACCAAAAGGAAGGAGAAACTGTCCATTTCCAGACAGCACAATTGTCAGTCCAAGATAATCAACAGTCAAGTCCTTAGAACAATTCAGAATTCAGCAAAATGATGAGATAGATGGACTCGCAACATGTAAAAAAAGGTTTCATTCATAACAGCAACAAACGCCTAGTATGAGCTCTTAGGGCCTGAACATGCAAAGGAATCCTGAACCATTGAGGTGCAGACTAGCTTCATCAATGGGAGAATGCAATGCTGTAGATGTCAGTTCTCAAACTACATTTCTCATAGAAAACACAAAAGGATTTTTGCCCCTGGTATTGATAAATTAATTCTAAAATTCATCAGGATAAGAAAATGTGTAGCAATTGCTGAGAAAGTTTGGAATAAGACTAACAAGGTAGACTGGGTGCAATAGCTTATGCCACTAATCTGAGTGCTTTGGGAGGCCTGCCTATAATTCTAGAGTTTTAGGAGGCTGAGACAGGAGGATCATTTAAGGCTAGAAGCTCAAGACCAGCCTTGGCAACATAGCAAGACTCCCTTCTCTATGGGGGCAAAAAAAAAAAAAACAACTTAGCCAGCCATGGTGGCATGTACCTTTAGACCCAGCTACACAGGAGGCTGTGGTGGGAGGATTACTTGAGCCCAGGAGGTTGACGCTGCAATGAGCTATGAATGCACCTCTGCATTCCAGCCTAGGTGACAGAGCAAGTCTCTCTCTCTTTTTTTTTTTTTTTGAGTTGGAGTCTCACTCTACTGCCCAGGCTGGAGTATGCTTATAGCCACTGCAGCCTCAATCTGCTGGGCTCAGTCAATCCTTCCACCTCAGCCTTCCAAGTAGCTGGAACTATATGCACGTGCTACCACACCCGGCTAATTTTTTGATTTATTGTAGAGACAAGGTCTCACCAATTTGTGCAGGCTGGTCTTGAACCTCTGGGCTCAGGCAATCCTCGCGCCTTGGCCTCCCAAAGTGCTGGGGTTATAGGTTTGAGCCACCGCACCGACAAGACCTTCTCTTAAGAAAAGAATAGCAAGGTCTGTATGACCTAGTATCAAAACATACAGTAAGGCTACAGTACTTAAAACCATGTGGTGATGCAGAAGTAGATAAGTGGATCAGAATAGAAAGTCCAAAAATAGAAACATATGTGACAAAAATACCATGCCAAATTAGTGAAATTAGTAGGGAAAGGACAGACATTGGCATGTGTTTAGAAAAAAATGTTAGATGTCCTCTCTCCCACCATTTGCAAACATTAATTCCATATGCTAAATATAAAAAATAGGAACCTTGCCAATATTAGGGAAAATTAGAGAATCTGTAACCCTGGAATGGGAAGCAAGACACAGGATAGAGAAGTTCCAAGAGCTCAGTTGCCTCATGAAAACAGAAGCTTCCAGGAGGAACAGCCTCGATGCTGCTGTACATTAGGGTCACCACACAGTGCAGGCCTGTCTTTCCTCTGTGTCCCACTCCCTGACTTGAGGAAAGCCCAAAAGCAGGCACAGGGTAGCATGAGCCATTCTGGTAGGGCATATACATCTGAAACATGTGTTCTTACATATGCACACCTGTGTGCAGTTGTGTCCACATGCTTTGCATGATGCTGTAGGAATCCTTTCTCCCTCTTTCCTGACTAAGCATTTCAAATCATGTACTTACAGTTTGGGAATAAAGCCTTTTCATCCTTCTGCAAATGATTGTCCTACTCCGTTGCTTCACATGTACCATAAGGGGAAGAGAAGCACAGAGCGTGGCCCAGAGGGGAAGATTCCCAGCTCAGAGGATCTGACACAGGGAGCTTCTGCCGAGGAACTGCTGACACAGTGTCTGTCTAGCAGTCTGTTGCTGGAGAAGGAGGAGAACAAGAGGTGAAACATGCTGTCTTCCACTTCATGTGTGTTATTTAGTCCACATCATGCTGGGTGAGGGAGATTGGCTACTGCTTGACTGATCTAAGACAGCCAGGGGAGGGAAGGGCAGATAGTGTACAGTTGTAGTGATGTAACTGTTTTTAAAAAGGCAAGTCAAATACAAGTGAAGTGTAAGCTCTTTGAAGGCAGAGATTGTGCCCTGGATAATGTTTTTAAACTATTTTATTATTTCAAGTCAACTTTATTTGTTTATTATTCAAAGTCAGTGTTAAGTTTTCAGTAGAAAATGTGTGTGTCTAAGTCTACTCAGGAGATGTTAAGTGCTGAATAATTGACTGGCCACAGGTACTCTGCCCCTGGCAAGCCTGAGGCGTCAGTGAATTATCCCACGCTGTGGATGAATGGGAGCTAGGGCTGACCCTCCTCTGTACTGCCCACTTCCTGCCTTCCTGTGCACACCTCCCTCATGCTCTTATTTGATGGCCTTAGTTACCCTTTTACTGAGAAATAGAACCATGAAGAAGAGCTTCTACAGGACATTCCCTTCCTCCTCTGCCCACCCAGCTATACCCAGCAGCCTCCCTGTGTCCAGCCTGTCTTCTTGTCCCCTCTTGTTGCCCGGGAGGAACTGTCCAGCTCATAGCCAAGGGTATCCCTTCCCTGTGGGCTTGGATCTCACCTCCCACCCACTTAAGGACATGCATCTAGTAAGTGACCCTCTATTGTGTCACCACCCCTCCTCAGTACTAGATTGTGCCCATCAGCATACAGCATGAAACATGCTGCCATCACTCCCTGTTCTGGCCTTATTTCTCTAGTCACCACCCCATGTTTCTGCTCTTAACAGTACAAATAAGGCTGGGGCAGTGGCTCATAGTTGTAATTCCATCACTTTAGGAGGCCAAGGCAGGAGGGTTGCTTGAGACCAGGAGTTCAAGACTAGCCTGGATAATATAGCATGACCTCTTCTCTACAAAAAATTTAAAAATTAGCCAGGCGTGGTGGTGCATACCTGTAGTCCCAGCTACTCGGGAGGCTGTGGCAGAAGGATCACCTGAGCCCAGGAGGTTGAGGCTGCCTGTGGTGAGTCATGATTGTGCCACTGCACTCCAGCCTGGGCCACAGAGTGAGACTCTGACTCAAAAAAAGTAAAACTCCTCAGAGTCTTTGTTTTTTTACTAAGGACCACAAGGTACCAAGAACAGTTGTGATGTTTCTTCAGCCCTCTTTCCCAGGCTTCTGCAGCCAGCACAGGTCTCAGCGTGACCTTGAACCCCAGATCCCAGAATAATGTTCCTTCTTTGTTCCTAGGACACCCCTAGCGCCTCCTGCTCCCTGCTGGCTACTCTCTCTAGGACCTCCCTACTGGTTCCTCCTCATCCCCAACTACCCCTGGGGCTCACTCTCTGGACCTCTTCCTCTGCATTATCTGTATCCACTCCCCAGTGATTTCATCTAGTTTTATGGATTTTTAAGTAACATCAGTACTCTGACAACTCCAAATATTTATCTCAAACCTTGGGTCCTCTTGTAACTCCAGACTTGAATATCGTACTGCTTCCTTGAAATCTTCATTAGACATCTTTAGGTGTTTGATAGCCATTGCAAAGTTAACATATCCCAAATCCAGTTCCCGATTTTCTCCCAACCAGCTCCTCCTTCAGTCTTCTCTGTTGATGGCAGCTCCATCAGGAGCCAAATGGTTTGGACTTATACTCCCATATCCATCCAGTCCATCCACAAATCTCATTGGCTTTATTAAAAATAAATTCAGAATCAACCATTTGTTATGACTTCCATGGCTTCCACTTGGCTCAAGCTCTACTATCTTCCTACCAGATTATTGAGGTAGGCTGTACTCTAGTCTTGGCAGACCTGGTGGTTACTTTGCAAGTGTAAGACAGAGGTCAGGTCACTCCTTTGCTCACAGCATCTCAGTGGCTCCCTCTTTCACCTGGAATCAAAGGCAAACTCTTAATAAGGGTGGCTAAGGCCCTGAGTGATCTGTCCCCCACTTCCTTTCTGACCTCTGCTCCTTCCTTGAACATGTGGGCAGCTCACAGACCTTGAATTTGCTATTCCTTTTTCCTGGAACCCTCCAGTCCTTCCACCCACCCCAGCATCCCCATGGCTGACATTGTACTCACTTCATTTCTATGCTCAAAGTTAGGCCTTCCTTACCTTTTCCCCACCTTCTTATTTCCATGGCTTTGCTTTGTCTTTCTCATCTTCAGACCATGTTTCCCTTTTTATATGTTCCTTGTCTGTCTTCCCTCTCTAGAGTATAAGCTGCTTAGGTCTGGGCCTTGTCCATTTTGTTTCAGTGCTATATCCCTTGCATTTGGTAGGGGCTTGATAAATGTGTTGGAAGAGTGAATTAGTATGTCTTGATTTCTAATACTTTAGAAATTTACCCAAGTCTATGGTTTTAGATGAGATTGTTTTTCTTAGAAAGACAAGTGTATGGAGAGGTAGACAACTCTGGAGTGTTAGGTGACAGTGAGATATTATTTTGAGTTAATTTTAAACTATAAGTAGCAAAATCTACAAGTTTGGAAAATCTATCAAGAGATAGTAACTAATTATAGATGCGTAAAACCCAAAATAAATCAAATAGAGAAGATAAGCCAAATGAGAGAATTACAAGTAATGTTAGATAACACATAGAAGCAGTTGTTTTTGAACTAATGCCACCTTTCTCATTAAGTATTAATTGGATTTATAAGTTAAAGGGAAGATGTTAAACTTCTGTTTTGTTTTGTTTTTTTGAGTTGGAATCTTACTCCATCGCCCAGACTGGAGTGTAGTGGCACGCTCACGGCCACCTGAGCGTCGACCTGCTGGGCTCCAGCGATCCTTCTGCCTCAGCCTTCCAAGTAGCTGGAACTACAGGCATGTGCTACTGCGCCTGGCTATTTTTTTTTTTTTTTTTAGTTAGAGTCTCACTTTGTCACCCAGGCTGGAGTGCAGTGGCACACCCAAGGCCACCCCAGCGTCGCCTGCTTGGCTGATCTCGAACCCGCAAGCTCAGACAGTCCACTCACCTTGGCTGGGATTATAGGCTGAGCCACCGAGCCCAGCCGATATTAAATTTCTTTTTTTTTTTTTTTGAGTTGGAGTCTCACTCTGTCACCCAGACTGGAGTGCAGTGGCCGCTCCCGGCCACCGCAGCCTCAACCTGCTGGGCTCTGGAGATCCTTCCACCTCAGCCTTCCAAGTAGCTGGAACTACAGGCACGCGCTACTACACCCGGCTAATTTTTTTATTTATGGTAGAGATGAGGTCTCACCAAGTTGCTCAGGCAGGTCTTGAATCCGCGGGCTCAGGCAATCCACTTACCTCAGCCTGCCAAGGCGCGGGATTACAGGCTGAGCCACCGAGCCCAGCTTAAATTTCTTAAAAGTACATGTTCTGAACTGACGGTACTGGGAAACTATGGGGGGGAGGGGGATGGGATTAACAGTAGCAAATATCTGTCGGAGGATGGGAAAACACCTCTTATCAACAGGGTGCCTGAATGAAACGTAATTGTACACCTAACCCTTAACTGTACCCCACAAAACCATAATAAAAAATACTGATTAATAAAAAAAAAAAAATTCATAACTAAAAAAAAAAAAAAGTACATGTTCTGTTGGTGTCATAACAAAGTTCTGTCTTTAGTAAAAAGTGAAGGCTGTTAAAAAAAATTAAAGTATATACAAAAGGTAGTGAATGATAGTTGATGCTTTGCTTCCCAGTGATCAAATGTTTCTGAATTTATGATCACATATTGTTACAGGTTTGAAGATCAACTTGAGCAATGGTTGTCTGAAGACTCAAGAACATTTGCAGATTCAATTTCCCTTCCCCTCTATCTTCCTCAGACTCTAGTGTCTCTTCCTCAGACTATTGAGCCTATTATGAAAACATCCATAACTACTAGCCTGCAGGTGAGAAGAGAGTATACATTTGGCACTTACATTGGAAGTAAAGGTTGAGAGAATGGTTGGGGAAAAAAGTAATGTCATGATTCATCATGTATTATAATGACCAGTAAATTATTAGCTTAAATTAGACCTTTTTAAAAACTTAATATGTCATTGTTGGTTTTTTTGAGTTGGAGTCTCACTCTATCATCCAGGCTGGAGTGCAGTGGCATGCTCACAGCCACCCCAGCCTCGACCTCCTGGGCTTAGGTGATTCCTCCGCTTCAGCCTTCCAAGTAGCTGGAACTACAGGCACACACCACCATGCCTGACTAATTTTTTGATTTATTGTAGAGACGAAGTCTTGCCAAGTTTCCCAGACTGGTCTCGAACCCCTGGGCTCAGGCAGTCCTCTCACCTTGGCCTCCCAAAGTGCCGGGATTATAGGCTTGAGCCACTGCACCCGGCCAATATGTCACTGTTACAGAGACCCAACTAATTCTGAGTTTCTGCTTGTGAAATAAATAGAGAATATGAAGAATGGAATTGAAACATGCTTAAGAACTAATAAGACCTGTCATTTGTGCTCATGTATAGTGAGGGTATTGACAAGAATAACAAAAGTGATGACAGCAACTTCTAGTTTATAGAACACATATTGTCTGAGCCTTGGCATTATGCCTACCTCCCTTCTGGGATTAAGTTTTTCTGAGAAACATTAATGAATGAGGAAGGTAAGCTCACAGAAATTAAGAGCTTCACCCAAGAATAGTCACTGGTCAGTGGCCAGAGTTGCTTTTCAAAGCCAGACCCAAGGTCTTTTTACCTTACTATCTTTCCTTCAGTGGTTAAAGAAGAAAAGCAGTTTTAATCACAGATATGTATTACTGGACCAATAAGCGTCCTCCTGGACTGGTTTTAGGAAACTCTTTAAAAACGGGAGCAAAGCAATTGTTTCCACTTATCAATTTGGTAACTACTTTAAAAATATTCATACGGGCTAGGCTCGGTGGCTTAGCCTGTAATCCCAGCGCTTTGGGAGGCCTAAGTGAGTGGATTGCCTGAGCCTATGGGTTCAAGACCCGCCTGGGTGACTTGGTGAGACCACATCTCTACAATAAATAAAAAATTAGCCAGGCGTGGTAGCACATGCCTGTAGTTCCGGCTACTTGGAAGGCTGAGACAGAAGGATTGCTAGAGCCCAGCAGGTCAAGGCTACAGTGGCTGGGAGCGTGCCACTGCACTCTAGTCTGGGCGACAAAATGAGACTCCAACTCAAAAAAAAAAAAAAAAAATTCATACCCTTTGATTTACCAATTCTGCTGTAAAGAAATTATACATCCCAAAAATTAATGTATAAAAATGTTCATAGCATTAACTATATTGCATAAAAGTGGAAGCAAACTAAATGTCCAAAGATGGGAGTCTAGTTAAACAATTACAATACATTCATGTGATAGAATAGTTCACAGCCCATGACTGTGATATTTTATAAAAATGACTGACACTGGGAATTGTTCATGATAAAATACAGAGAGAAACAGTCCATGTGCAGATGATACCAGCTTTATAGATGAGCTAGGAGAGACTGGAAGGATGTAAAATGGATACCAAGAGGAGGGTCTGTTGAGTCCAAAAGGTGCCAGATGAGGTTTCTAACGTGAGCCAGATCCCGTGACTTCACAGAGAATAGCTCTTGGTTTATTGACATCCCCCAAATTTTTACTTTCTTCTTTATTCAAATAGAATGAAAGGGCAGGGGAGCAATTGCGGCTGTCAGAGACAACGGGAACATCTCTGACCGAACGGCTGAAGTACCTGGAAAGGCTGATCCAGAGGTCGAGGGAAGAGGAAGTTGCTTCTGAGCTCCATCTCTCTGCACTGCTGGACATGGTGGACATTTGAGCAGCCTGACTTGCGGGAGGTGGGGGGTCAGACACCAGAAGAGTTTCTGTGTTTACTCAAAATAATGTTATTCTCAGATGCTTGATGTACTGTTGGAAATGTGATTATTAATCATGCAAATAAACCACTTGAAATATCTAGTAAGGTCTTTCTCAGTTTTCAGAATGAAAAGCTATTTCCTCCTGTGAGATATGTCTTCAGTATTCTCCTGTTTTCCTGATCTCCTCAGACTTTCACCCACTAACATATGCTCTGAGGAAGTTTGGAGCTTACATTTCCATGTGTAACAGGCGATTCATTCTCTCAGCAAACTTGCAGTCCTTGATGAGCCAGGCATCAGTGATGCAGGGATAAATAAGGCACAGGGCCCCTGCCTGTCAGGCCCACCCAGCTCACATCTAGAACCAAGAGATGCATACATGTGTTGCTCTCTGAGGGTGTGCACGGAGGCCTGTGTCTGAACTGGTATCAAGGAAAGATGGTGGGGAATGGGATGAGGTAGGGTTAGGTGGAGGAAAAAGAATTCCCAGATAGGAGTACAGGGTTGTAGCTGAGGACAGTGTACCTGAAACGACATGATGAAAGCCTGGAGGCACCAGTTTGGTTTTATGGGGAAGTGAGGGGAACAGGCCTACGGGGTTAGACCCCAAAGATCCTTGTTGCCTTATTTGGAGTGCTATGGAAATCAGTTGTTGAAGGAGATCAGGCAGAGAAGTGACCTGGTCACATTTTATTTTAAAAATGGTGTTGGGGAGGTCAGCAATTGAGGCAAGAATTTTGAGTGAAGGGTGTTGCAGTCATCCAGGTAAAATTCAAGGAGCACAAGCTCGAGTTTGCTAGCAGTTGGTGTGGAGAGGTGATAAATTTGAGCCGTGTACAGAAAGAGGTAGTAACAGACCACCTATCTTAAAACTGGCACTCAGCATCTCCCAACCACAATCTAGATCCCCCAGACTCTCCAGGAATACTATTTAATGTCTTCCTATTCTCTTCAAACTTCCAACATTCTTAGATGATGACTTTGCTTTTTTTTATTTTTTAATGATTATGCTTTTATTTCCAACTTGTAATGGGTAACAATTTAAAAGTGCCATTAGCTATTTTTAATCAATCAATCTGCATTAAGATTGGTAATAGTGCCGTCTGGTGGCAGCCATACTGTTGAGCCAGGATGGACGCCTACAAGTACATCCAGGAGCTGTGGTGGAAGCAGCTGTCGAATGTCATGTGTTTTCCTGCTGCGGGCGCACTACCAGCAGCACCGCTAGCTCTCGGCACTGTGCCGGCCGTGCCCCACGCAGCCAGACAAGGCGTGCAGGCTGGGCTATAAGGCCAAGCAAGGTTACGTCATCCACAGGATCCGCATGCGTTGGGCGGCTGCAAATGCCCAGTTCCCAAGGGCACAAGCCTGTGCACCACAGCATCACCAGTTCAAGTTAGCCTGCAGCCTGCAGTCCATGGCCAAGGAGCGAGCTGGACATCACTGTGGGGCTCTAAGAGTCCTGAATTCCTACTGGGTTGGTGAAGATTCCACATATAAATTTTTTGAGGTTATCCTCATGGATCCATTCCATAAAGCCATCAGAAGAAATCCAGACACCCAGTGGATCACCAAGCCAGTCCACAAGCACCAGATGTGTGGGCTGACATCGGCCAGGCGCAAGAGCCATGGCCTTGGGAAGGGCCACAAGTTCCACCACACCATTGGTGGCTCCCAGCACGCTGCCAGGAGGAGGCACAACACTCTGCAGCTGCACCACTATGCTAACCCAAGTTTCTTTTGTAAAAGCCCCATCAATAAACAATGAGGACAGTCCTGTCTGCTTAAAGGTGGGGGAAAAAAAAGATTTGTAATAGTAAACACAACAGGCCTCTTTCACATTTATCTCATCTGTATTATTCTATATGCTTTATTTTTTCTATATGCTTATCATTAGCATTTGGCCTCACTTTTTTTCTCTAAGGATTATCCTTAGTGAAACTTTTACCTTTAAAAGATCCTGAGCCGGGCTCGGTGGCTCAGCCTGTAATCCCGCGCCTTTGGGAGGCTGAGGTGAGTGGATTGCCATGAGCCCGCGGGTTCAAGACCCGCCTGGGCAGCGAGACGTCATCTCTACAATAAATCAAAAAATCAGCCAGGCGTGGTAGCACATGCCTGTAATTCCGGCTACTTGGAAGACTGAGGTGGAAGGATAGCCGGAGCCCAGCAGGTCGAGGCTGCGGTGGCCGGGAGCGGCCATTGCACTCCAGTCTGGGTGACAGAGTGAGACTCCAAATCAAAAAATAAAAAAGATCCTGAGATTTTTATGTAACTTGAACAACCCATTGCCTCTGTTACTTCTACATTCGTGTTTTCCTAAGCCTGTGTTTCCCAGCCCTCATGTTACTAGCAGCCTGAGTGCCCTTCCTGGGCTACCACCACCTGGCCCTTTCTTTTCATTCCTTAAGCACTTCCTTAGCACCTCCCAAAATGCCTGCACATGGTTCTGGTTTGTTTTAAACATGTACATTATCATGATTTAGACTGAAGGAACAGAACTGTTTTGGGCTTGAAGAGATAAGAGTAGTATGGTTTCATGGGAGAAAGATTTCAATTTCACATAAGGAAAAACTATTGGAAAGTAGAATAGAAACTTCATACAGAGATTCAATAACCACTTCTCAGAGATTTTGTAGAGAACATAAACACTAGCCCAACTGCATGGTCTTTAAAATCTTCCAACCCAGCCAGACTCGGTGACTCAGCCTGTAATCCCAGCACTTTGGGAGGCCAAGGTGAGCGGATTGCCTGAGCCCGCGGGTTCAAGACCCGCCTGGCAAATTGGCGAGACCTCATCCCTACAATAAATCAAAAAATTAGCCGGGCGTGGAAGCTCATGCCTGTAGTTCTAGCTACTTGGAAGGCTGAGGTGGAAGGATCACCAGAGCCCAGCAGGCGAGGCTGCGGTGGCTGGGACCGGGCACTGCACTCCAGTCTGGGCGACAGAGTGAGACTCCAACTCAAAAAAATAAATAAATAAAAAATAAATAAAATCTTCCAACCCTGAGATCCCAAAATTCTGGATAAAAGGGGTAAAGGTGCTAAACATTTCACTCCCATTGATGTGAGGGAAGTAAATGACACTGAGGTCCAATTTGTCTGTGGTTCACAATTAGTTCAATACAGATCTTTAGACTAACTAGAAGACAAAAAGCAAGCATTTCAAGTTGGCTACCAGCCATGGTTCACCTCAGAATACAGAAATAGCCATGTGCTAACTGGAAGTCATTCAATGAGGTTTTCTGTTAATTTTCCTTAAAAGCAACAATTGTCATCATTTAAACTCCTAAATGTCAAAAGCTAAAGGACCTACCCTTACATCTAAGTTCTAATCATATAGCAATTGTTAGGTGGCAACCTCGCTCTGATGTCCAGAAACCTGGTCTGTTATGAAAGCAATGAAGGGAGGGGCTGGCAAGGCACTGCTAGGGTGGTACAGGGGACACTTCTTATATTCACAAGGCCATGTGATCCAGGCATAGCGGACAGCAACCATAGTGCCATGACAAGATTTGATCATCAAGGTCAGGGTCTGGGTGGAGGAGGTGTTCATGGGGGCTGGAAGCCACTTGCATTGATGGTCACTGCAACATGAGATCTCAAATATCTTGTTGTCCTTCTTCTGCAACTGGATTTACTGGTAACATGTGAGGCTAAGCAACCTCTTGTGAGCCAAGAGTTCTATCTTCCCAGGCCGTGGTCCTTGAAAGGCCAAATTCTTCTCACCATAAGCCACAGCACAGGCCCCCAGATGTAGCTGATAGGTCACAGTCTGTTTATCTCGAGGGTGAATGCTGCCAAAAGACGAGTCCCTATCACAGAGGTCCATAGCCACAGCCATAAAAGTGTTGGGTATCTTTAGGCTGGGGACATAGCCTAAGTCTGCTGTTTGATGCCAGCGGATCTGGGGAAATCTATCCTCTGATTTGTTCTCAGGCAAATATGAAGATAACTGGACAAATTCAAATGGGAAGAATCGCTCTGTCTGCCCCTGGGAGCCACGATGGAAGGTTTGGTGCCAGTCTTCAATGAGCGCAGGGAATGTGCAATTGTACAGGTCTGTGTTATAATTTATATTAGACTCCCCCTGGTACCATACCACCCACTTCAGGGTCATATTATGTAGCGGATGGATCATGGCATTCCAGAGAACAGAGTGCTTACTGGAAGCAGTTACAGAATCAAATGGAATGGACCCTTGTTTAGTAACCCCACAGGCTTTCAGTGACCTTCCAGATGACCAGGCTTCAATGGGTGTCCCACTCCAGCTGGAGGAGATTAATCCAATGGGATAATGCAGAGTGTCATACAGAAGATACCCAAAGAGCCAGCACACTGCTAACATGTACTTGAAATACTCATGGCCTAAGTTTCCTGAGGTGGGCTTAGACCATTTCAAGTCAACCGCAACAAGGTCCTTCAGCTCCTGCTCTGCCCGATTGAGAGAGACAGAGAGGATGTGGACAGACTGATAGGCAGCAGTGTTAGACAACGCCTTTGTAGCATTAAATATCTGCACTTCTGTCCGCACACAGGATTGAAGGAAGCACCAGCCCAAGGACAGATCCCAGAGCGACCATGTTTGCGAAGACCCACCACCCACGCGCAAAGGGGGACTCCAGGCGGGGGCGGAGCACAGGGCAGGAGATGGGCGGGGAAGCTGACTTTGCTTTTTATTTCACTAAGAAAACTAAGAAGAGAACCTCCTCATTCCACATCTACCAAATCCACCAACCAATCCTGCTTCCCCAAACACTATTCAACTCTTAGGGATTTTTCCAGGCATTGATTTTATGTTTATCAATAAAGACTTACTGTGATTTCTTTTTCTTTTCTTTCTTTTTTTTTTTTTGAGTTGGAGTTTCACTCTATTACCCAGACTAGAGTGCAGTGGCATGCTCCCGGCCACCGCAGCCTCGACCTGCTGGGCTCCGGCGATCCTTCCACCTCAGCCTTCCAAGTTCCAAGCCAGAACTACAGATGCTTGCTACCACGCCCAGCTAATTTTTTATTTATTGCAGAGATGAGGTCTTGCCAAGTTGCCTGGGCAGGTCTCGAACCCATGGGCTCAGGCAATTCACTTGCCTCAGCCTCCCAAAGTGCTGGGATTACAGGCTGAGCCTGCTGTGATTTCTTAATCTTGATTTTAGGCTTTTTTGATTTCCTATTATGGAAGAGGAGTTAGCTTTTCCTATATGATAATCCTTGGAATTTGTATCACCCACACATACCTATACTTCCTCTTCTATTAGTTCCCCTAAGCAGTTTAATATGTTGGCTGAAACCTACATTCAGAGTTCAGTATGATTATATGCTCACTGCCTGTATTGGTGTATGATTACATTTTCTTTACATACAACTTTTGATTTTTCCTGTATTTAATAACTGTGTTTTCTCATTTGCTTGGTTTTGTGTTCCTGTCACTACTTCACTCAAAACTCTCTGTCCTAAGTGTAAAGAGATAAGGATTCTGTCTGTAGTTCCAGCTACTTGGAAGGCTGAGGATGAAGGTTCACCTAAGCCCAGCAAGTTGAGCCTGGGCTGCAGAGTGAGATGCTGACTCAAAACAGTCATTGTATCAGGTAATAAGCTAGCTCCACTTTTCTTTTGGAGGTAACCCTCTGGGAACTCCATCTTTTCCTGCCACATCTTGGACATTTCCTGGGTTCTGAATCATACCTTCTCTTCCCTTGGTTTGCTTTATCATTTTGGTAGATCCCATCTTGTAGTAGCCTCCTGAGCTTGCATATCTAAAATGTCTTTATTTCTACTGTCATATTGTGAAATATATATTTGGTATTTGTCCCTGTTTTCTGGCAAACAACTCCTAGAATCCTTGGTATATCTAAAGTGATGTCTTTGGAGGGTAATAAGCTGACTGATAGCTGGCAGCTCCTAGGCTTCAAAATGGAGACTGGTGATCAGTGTAAACTAAAAATAAAATTTTAAGCCTCCCACCAACTGAACAAACGCCCCCCTTGGACTAAAAAAACTTAAGAACTGAGTTCCCAGCCATGACAGGATGGAGGTCAGACATACTTTGTTACAACCCTCTCTTTTGTGGTTTGGACACAAAAACTAACAGCATTAATGTTAAATAGAGATCATAAGACTGACAGAACAGACTCTCTGTGGTAATAAGATACCACAAATTAATGCTGGGTGCCGTAGCTCATGCCTGTAATCCCAGCAATTCGGAAGGCTGAGGTGGGAGAATTACTTGAGGCCAGTAGTTTGAGACCAGCCTGAGCAACATAGCAAGACTCCATCTCTACAAAAAATATGAAAACCAACCAGGCATGGTGGCATGTGCCATAGTCCCAGCTACTCAGGAGGATGATGCGAGAGGACTGTATGAGCTCAGGCAGTTGAGGTTATAATGAGGCATGATTATGCCACTGTACTCCAAACTGGGCAACAGAGCAGGACACTGTTGAAAAAAATGAAATAAAACCAAATTATAAATAGGACTTAAAACCATGACAGGTAAGAGTTAAGTCACATACACTCCCACACCTAAAGAATAAACTATGATCTAAGTGCCACAAGATTTTTCTTTTCCTCTAGTAGCTAAACAAGCACTGGCATCAGGGTAACAATATTAAAACAATTACAACTCATTCAGTTCAAAGATACTAAACAAACCCCTGTTCCACTACAACTTTGATTGGTCAAATGACTGATTTCAATGATTTTCTACTGATAAGACGACTGGCTGAGGTGAGAGGATTGCCTGAGCTTACGGGTTTGATACCAGCGTGGGCAATT